CGAACAAAAATCGAGCACGTCTTGCAATTCGCAATCGCAAATCCGACTTGATCTCTTTCTCTCCCTCTGTCTCTTTCTATGCGGATTGTGGATCATTCGGAGCTGATCTTGCTGACCGGCAAATTCGCTTTTCATGCCGAGTTTGCGGAAAAAGGGCGAAGGTTACATCGAGATGCGAGGAATCGGAGAAATGTTTATTTGGATATAGTTGGCCACGTAAGGTCTTTTTTGTCTTGTGACGTATGTATTAGAGAAAGGAAGTGTCACTCGTGGAAATGACGCATTAGGCGACATCTGTTTTGTAGTTTTGTAAGTTAACTACTCATGAGGAGGTGCGGTGTTGGAGGATTACGGAATAATGTACCTAGTGTTATACTTCAAATATGGGATGATTGGTATCTAAGGTGGGAAAACATTTCGAGGTTTATTTGTGAAAGTTCATTGGTTGCAGAAAAGATTTGACCGGCTCATTAAATGGATATATAATAAACTAATTACCATTTTCTGCATTGGAAAGCAGATTTAGAATTCTTAAATCTATTTATTTCTGTGCATTCCAAAGGATTGAGTTTCAAATCCTTCTCTAGGAAATTAAATAATCATGCTCCTCTCTCGAAAGATGGTTTCCAAATGTGGAATTGATCTTCACATTCAAGAAACTACTCATATGCTCTTTTATTCTGTTGGAAAAGGTTCTCCCCGTTTGGCCACTATTGACACGAACAAAAGAAATACACCGCTGGCGAAAGTTCTGGAAAGAAATTGTAAAAGCAGAAAGAAGTGGATGCTGGAATGGCAACTTTGTTCAGTATGAAAACTAGAAAACTTTTAGATAGGTAGCGTTTAAAGGTTTATGCCATGTTGAATATTAATTTTTTAAAAATGTTTGACGTTTTGAAACTACATAGTATTTTTTGATTCGTCGACTTTCTAGGCGATATATTTAATTCTTCGCCTTTTTGCCTACATATATTTTATAGAATTAGATTTTGATGTTTATTTAAAAATTAATGCTCGCCTGTTTTGCCGCTTCATCATTGATGCTTTCCAAATATTTATGTTCAATGACATTCCATATGTTCTCTAAATGAATTATTCATGATTCGAAAAAGAAAGATCATTGTACAAGTACTGATTCACTCTAATGATCATAGAATTTTATGATTCTCCATAAGTTTTACATTTCTATTTCTATATTTGATAATCCCAGATAGGACGTGTATGGATTTTGGTAATTGTTTCGTTAAATTTCAATAGCATTCACAATAGAGAGGAATTTCAGTGTCGGATATTTTAAATTCTGAAACAATTTCATGCCTCATGAAAATGTGATTTTGAAAACAGGGTAATCGATCAAGGTTTCATTAAATTCAAGCTTGTTTTGTGCCCAATAATAATGATAACCCTCGAACAAGAAAACATGAAACATTATTTTGTTTAACTTTTTCATTCGTAGGATCTGATGTTTAACCGTACATATTGATTCGGCATCAATTCGAAACGGTTATCTAAGAGTTATAAATCTAGAACCAACAGAAACATAGTGAACTGCCAAGTTTCTGATGAAAATATTTCTAATTGCCTAGTATAATCTTATCGAAATAGTTATATACCTACGTTTCTTTGAATTGCATGTAAAATACTCGTCAATATTTGTTATTTGCCGTAAAATGCATGTACTCTTTCTATTTATTTCAAGCGCATTTCGCAAGGTTTACTTTTTCATAAACAAAACACAGTTTGAATAAATTTCTTTGTCACTATCTTTATCCATTTTCTTTGTTCTATAACTATTTTCTATTTCACGAACTAATAATCCGATAGCTGTAAAATTTGTACAAGTGTCCTTTGAAGGTTGGGGTTGACTAAAAATTATATAGATTCAATACTAGTAGCGCCATCTGTATGTTATCCTGCGAACTTTTCAGACCACCTGATAGAAGCCGAACTTGTGATGAGTCGTTTCAAATATTCAACACTAAAAAATAAGAGTTCGTCTATCAATTTAGTTTCTCTGTTACATTTTATAGATTTCTATTACTTTTACTAAACTTCTGTTGAAGTTATGTGTGATTTTTCTTATCATTAACTTTTTAGATGTAACATTTTTTCCTTAAATGCGTATTATATCGACAGAGAACGTGTTAATTCTAGAAACCATTTCTCGGCGTACATTTCAAAGTATTTATCTACACAATTGTCACGACACCGGCATATTTATGTGAATATAATTACTATAGCATATCGGTTTTGCGATGCCAAGCGATCACAAAACCAGTTCTGCCCGGTATGTTTCGTATCCACTCGATTTTTCATCGTAAATACCAATCAACTTCAATTCCGATACGAATCCTACCCCTCTGCCCCCTCTCCGGGTCGCATATCCGACCATTAACCATCCCATAAAACGGGCACGCAACACGAGAGATGCATAAAAAGAGAAAACGACACTGGCAGCCATAAAAACGAATAACGTTTTCTGAGACGCGTCGAACATTAATTTCAACATCGTGTGTGCCTTGGCGGGCGTGGGTTGGAAGAATATTAACGGAATTGCCGGTAGGCGGCCTGGTAATCAGGTTATACCATTGTAAAAACACGTCCCATTGTATAAGGCTTCGACCTACGCGGAGAATTTCAAACAGTCGAGGGTTCTAACTCTCTGTTCCTCTCTCTCGGATTTTCTTTTTTTGTTTGTGACTCGGCGAATCTGATACCGCGCGAACGGAACTGGTGAACAGTGTTGCCAACACAATAAAGTTGTTTCGTGCAAGGTTAAAGTCGAAAGTCGGTAAAATACGATTGAAAACCCGAAACAAATCAATTGAGAAATAGGTGCTTTCTTGAATAACAATCTCAAGTAAATTAATAATGTGAAACATTTTCAAAAGCAAGCTTTTAAGATATAGAATTATGTCAAAATCAAGTTACATACATGTTGTATTTTTGTGTATTTTTTATGAAGGTAAATCTCGCGATGAGCTACCATATAATATAAATTGTGTAATGAAGTGATTTGATGGGTTTGATTCAATTTGAAGTTTTTCTTCCTTTCAGAGCATCTTAATAAAATATATTTTACTCTCGAATTGGGAATGGATATGTCTAATGCTCCGCCATAGACGGTTATACCTAGCTAAAATGTCTACGTGTTCCGCATTTTCAAATTGCCTTATAACGGAGGTTGATTCTGGGATTTAAAATATAGTGTAATAATAAAGAAATGAAACCATTTTATGAAATGGACACGAAATCGAAACCTAGCGGTTATTTTTTAGTGAATTTTCAGGTTGTTCAAAAGCAGTTTCAGCGTTGTTTTGTTTTCATTATTTCGTCAATAATATCGGATGCACAAATTCATGATACAAGGGAACAGTTTCTTATACCGATTGGCCATTCGGTATAAGAATTGACCGTTCTGTATAAGACTTCTATATTCGCGGAAAATTTCTAACAGTTGTGGGTTCCAACTCTCCATCTCTCTCTGTCTCTCGACTTTTATTTTTATGTCGTCAATTTTGATACCTCGTGCTAAGCTGACGGAACTGATAAGTGAAATTCGATAACAACAGCAAATGTATGCATGGTATTTATGTTTGATTTTATAACTACAACTAATGTATGCATGGTATTTATGTTTGATTTTGTCGGAGAGATTATTACCCAGATGTCGAATTTGAAGGACTTCGTACCCTAATATGTATACCCTAAGCGTGAAAAATTTGGGTTGAGATAACGGAAACCCATTTATATCTCGGTTCAGCAAAATATAAAGAACTTGATACCTTCTTATTGTGTGGCGGTTAAAAAAATCGTGTTTTTGAATACACATTCCACCGACAAGAAATGTTGATTGATTCAATGATTCCGAGTATAATGTTCCATTTCTTTGTTAGTTTCGGCTCTTGGTGAAAGCTAAACATTTTCTGATACATGATTATCATACTAGTCATTATTAGTCATTAAGACGTTCGTATTATTCAACCTAGATGTCGCCTACTCCGTGGTTGAATATGTTCAAGTATGAGATGGAACTCCAAATTCAACTATTTCAAGGTCTAATGTAGCAATCGAATCTAGTATCGTTTGATGTTTCATCAACGTAATTATGTAACTAGAACTAGAATGTGGTAGTTTTTCAATAGAACGAAAAAAGGTTTTTTGATGTCTGTGATTGAAAATTAGATTCTACGACGAGATAATCATCGGCAATTTCGTTCGATCTGTTGTTGCATGAACGCCGGGGGAATTGTACCACGCCTCGAGTGAACGTGATTGAATGCGTTACCCATTTTGCTGTCACTAACAGCTGTTTATTAAACCGGATGACAGTGACGTTTAATTACAAAGCATTACCTTACTTGTGTCATGGTGAATTTTGAAATGGCAATGAACATTGGTCCCCGAAAATCAATCTACTCATGTGTAAGTTAGTGACAGCATGTTGGATGTAGTATCGAACACATCTGAAGATTTGAAATTGAATACACTTACTACGTATTTAGTTGAAAGTGGGTATAATACAAAGATAGCCGTAGAATACTCGCCCGAACAAAGAAAACTGGGAAAATATTTACGATGTCCGTTTTGAAGTGATAGCTTCAAATTAACTTCCTCAACTTCATACTCCACACCTCTTTATTGTTGGTAAAAAATGTCTGAAACTCAGCTTTTCGATAACCGCCACCTATACGTGGCATTAAGTACTACACCTACTGCAGCCTGTACAGAGATGAAACTCGATAAAACATGTAATATAAATTATAATTTTATTTTAGTCTCCATTGTGAAGAACTGATTTTTACATTTGTATAAACGAATATTTCAATAAAGAAATTGAACAATCAATATTTGACATTTGATTTATAAAATATAATGGCGCAAACTGTGATCATATCATTCTTTTAAAATCGATATGTTGTATTTCATTCAGTATCGGTTATTAAAATGCAATTATTTTCTTCGGAAAGCTCTATCTTTGGTCATGTGGTGTTTCTGTCATGCCTAGTGCTGACCTCTCTTGTCACAAGAAAACAGAAACTAACCCGGGTGAACTAAACAAAAAGTTCTCCAAGTACAGAATAACAGGCGAGTTCGTGAATGCATATTTTATTTATATATTAATGTGTAATACTGGCTGAATAGCTCATCCAAATTACTGTTTCGGTTAATCAACCAGGTGTAGATTAACCACATAATCCAGGGCAGTTTGTAGTTCTTTTTATTCCTATACACGTTGGCATTTTTATCTGTATTGCAGCGAAATATTTTTCGAAACTACATCGGGTTAGTCATGACAGTTTCCGATCTTCAGATAACGACGATATCATCCGATCGTGACAGGGGTTCTACTCGCCGCTCGAAAAAAATGTACTGTCACGTTTTCGTTCTCGGCAGCAGTTATTTTAGATCGGTGAATGCAGACATGGTTCAACAACATTTTCGGCCACTCCCTTTTCCACGATCGCATCCTCTCAACATTGTAGAGTTTGATCGATAGCGACCCTCTTTCAAAAAAATGCCGACGCTATATCTCGTTTAATGATTCTCAATGACACGTCGCTACTCGCTCGAGAAAATTGGGGTGGAATATTTGCGGAAATTGGGGTGGTTAGAATTCCATTTGATATCTTTTCACAAAACTTTTTATTCTGGAAGTATTTCAATAAAATATCGAGTTTTCTTTTGAAATTTTTCGTAAATATATTTCGGCGCCCAATGTGGGGCCATTTAAAACATTGTTATAGCAACGATACAAAAAAGGAGACTCATCGGAACCTTTCATGTCATCAATAATTTATTAATCTTGAATCTACTTGAAACAAGACATATTTTTTCCGACAATCTGTGGTGAGTCAGCGAGATAAATAATAACCACCAATTGAGATTTCTTTATGGAAACTCATTATTCGTTCATTATATAAATTGTGCAACTTCGCTGCACCTATAAAGTGAAAGCGTAAAACATTAGGTTACACATTTCACTTTCTATCATTAAATTCAAACCTTGGCACTAAGTTTACGCTAATTAGTTCGATCGAAAGCTTCCTATCTGGAAATAATACACAACTTGCTAATCAGTCGAAACTAGAAGTTATGTTCGGATTTAGTTGAATTTGTCACGCTACTTGGCGGGTGTCAAGTCAAGGTCACAGGAGGGCAGCACATTTGACGATTATTGCTTTGAGCGTGCTCAACTTGAAATTGGATAAGACATTTTTTTTGTGTCGAGTGATCCACTTTTATTAATTAACGGGAGAAAATTGTTTCAAAAATGGCAAACGAGCACTGGATGCAATTATAATTGCAGTAGTATTTTAATTGTATTATTTTGAAACTAACTTTTGTTTTTTTTGCAGGACCCACTACAAAATCGCGTAAAAGAAAACCAGTTGAAGTCGAAACTTCCTCCACAAACGCAAAACCCCGCAACTTCAATACAAGAGAAGATTTAGAGAACAAACAGACTCGCAGAAAAAACTTGAACAATCGCTCCTCGAACAGGAAAAAAGTATTAGAGGAAGCGAATAACTCGAAACTCCGAGAGATCGAAGTGAGAGTAGAAGATTGTCTACAGGCAAATTCGGCACTTTCGATACTCTGTAGGCAAAAACTAGAAGAACATTGCACGCAGCCGCTCAGTTCCCCGGATTTAACCCCTATCGAGCGACAACCGGAGTCGGCGGAGTTGTGTTCGGTAGACCCACCGCCAGGATCTCCCAACTTAGAATCTATTGAGAGACCTCCAGAGTCTCCCGATCCGGATCCAGTCGACGAGGATAGTAATGGCAGTAGTGGCAGTAGCGCTAGTGTAGAAATAGTGAGTGTGGATGTGAGAAGTGACGATGTGCAGTGTGAATCTATGCCTGCTGCGAAGGAAGTGGTGAACAGTGAGCTAAACGGAAGTGAAGAGGACTGTGTGATAGTGGCTCAAATTAGGACAACTACGACGCCAAATAAGGCAGACGAGCTGAGGGAGTGCTCAATTAGAGGTGAGGAATGGTTTTCTTCAATACTTTAGGCGCCCAACGTGGGGCCAGAATGAACTGAAAATTGTAAAGACGTGTGAAAAATAATAAAATGATGCAATATAATAGTTGACAGCATTCAGAGAACAACAAAGCCACCTATTTCTATTCTAGGTTAATGTTGGGATACTAGTTTTTCATTGAAAAAAAAATCTTACAGGATTACTTCTTTGTAAATTCTGTTGTGGGCATCTTGAATATTACTAAATTGAGTTATGTTTTACAGTTGGTAGATTTTCAACTACCTGTTTTTCATTGTATTTTGCAACAAAGAAAATCAAAAAAGAATGAATCATAAGTAAAATGTTACTCTATTATTTTCACAATTGAATATAAACATGAACTACATCGATTCACGAGCGGTGTATATATAATTACTTTGACCTGAATGTGATTTAAAATCAAAAACCTCAGTACATAAATAGAAATGATCATTAAGTAGTTGCATGTTAAAGTGAATTGAATGAAAACCAGAAGCAGAACTATTGTTCTTAGAAAAACCGATTCTTGTTGGTTATGAATATTCATTTATTTATGTCAACAAAAGGCAGGTATATTACCATTTTTATCAAGTCAAGTCTTACTCATTATACAAGGTTAAATTGATTCATCTACGATTTTGAATTACTCAGTTTCTTGAGTTTGGAATGTTGATTCTTATAATTTAAATAATGTCTATTTTTCTTGGAATCAAAGTAGAGAATATAGATTATTCAGTAATCCGAGATTTCATAACTTGGATTGAAATCATAAATTCCTCAGTTATGGTCATTACAATTTGAATCTATTTAATTTTTTAAGCACAAATTTTTTTTCTAATTGCTAGATATAACGGATAATTGATTGACAAAGATTTGCTTTTTTGTTGTATCTAATTAGTACTGCTTTCCAGAATAACAATTAGAACATATACGAAAATCATGACAAAGTATAGATATTTGTCTTGAGTCTTCAATGAAGAGGATAAATCCGCCTCTTCAAGTCCCCACATATGAACTTTGCCGTATATCCCTTTCGTTTGCATCGATAGTGACGGCTTTTTCGTTTTGTTCCAGGTGACGATGACGGACCGCTGGTGTCATCCTCGCCATACCACAGCAGGATGGATCTCGGTTCGGAATCAGCGTCCAGCCTCCTGCTCCGTTTCCCAGATGACCGTTCCGATTCGGGCGTGAGTTCGCTGAGATCGGGCAGTGGCGATGAAAGGTCTGGGTCGCGGTCCAGCGCCCTAAGTTCATCGGACGAACCGCCAAACAACCTTTCTACGTCATCAACGTCGTCGTCGAGCAGCTTGTCGCAACAAACTTCGCAAAACAGGTAAGTCCTCGACTAATTGTGATAGTTATCATTACTATTATTTTTGTGAAAAGTTATGATTTTGCGTTAATTTCATTGAATTGGTCAACACTTTATTATTTATTCTGAAATTAATAATTTAATTTTCCATATTACGTTTTATAATGATATTTTTTAATGAAAATCGCGTGCCGTTGCACAGCCGTGCTGGATTCAAATTACGGAGCTATCCAACCTTCAGCTGTAAATTATGCGGTGGCATCGCAAAATGTATCTACGCTCGATGGATAAACAATATTAGTGGCCGAAAACTGTGTAGGGAGTGAGAGAAGGCTTATTTAGAGAGAAAAACAGGAGACCGGCTTCGTTCTTATCTCTACTCCGTGCTGTGTACTGACTGAGAAGTGACATCGGTAGACGCCTAGCGGGAATAACTGGGGTGACCTACCGAATATGCATATAAAACTTTCTCTTTCTCCCCTTGAATTGGCAGCACTGGTAACTTCCACCATTCTGATCGTATTTTCTTGAGAACGTCATTTCTCCGATATAGAGGCTGTCTTCTGTTTCGCGTCGCTGGGTCTTGCCGCGATCTGTTGGCTGTCTCGCGTCACAGAAGAGTAACAATAGGAGTTGTCGTTCGTAAGCACGGGGAAATTGAATTGTATTTCTTACGCAGACAGGTTGCCATCTTAGGAATTTCGTATTGGTTGAAGTAGACAAACGACAGGGAACAATTCGTTTTGGAAATTCTGACCACAGAAAAAGAATAATTTACTGTTCTGTGTCTGCTGCACAGAATAGTCGGAGTTCCAGTGTCATATGTCCGATTATTTTACTTTAACTATTCTCTGAATCCGACCTGCTTCTTCGATATTGATGCCGCTTCCTTAAATTATAGGCGCCGTCCCTTCCAGATTGTTTACGCTTCTGTGCTTCTTGGTTTGTGTTCTCTGCCACAGCAGGGACGCCACCTAATATTTTTTTAGATGGTTTTCATTACACTGACGTCTTATTTTGTGAAAATCAAAAACGTCCACCTGTACAAGTTTCTAATTTATTAATGAAAAAGAATTGGTGATTTTTCATGATTTAATATTGGCAGCTCTGTGCGGTGGTGCCATATATAACTTATCATAGTTACACGTGCTGGTTCGTTTTTGTTCTTGGCCTTGGATTTTTTTTTCGGAAGTACATAAAAGCTACTTAGTGAATTTCGTTGTGTTCATCTGTTGGTTGTTACTCAGCAAAGTTTCAGCCATTTGGGACACGCTGTTGTTCTGAACAGTCATTTGAGTGTGTTGATGTTGGTGGTTTTATAAAAATAGACAAAATCGTGTATCGAGTTGTCAGTAAATATTTGTTTTTGAAAGACAAGATGACTACGCAAATCAAAGATGAGTTGGATCCTGCGTATGAGGACTCTGCACGATCATTTATCACAGTGAAATTTTGGACAGCTGAATTTAAACATGGCCGTAGGAGCTTGGGAGACGATGAGTTTTCGGGACGCCCAAAAAGTGCAACCACCGACGAAAACATCGCCAAAGTTCACGAAATGGTGCTAGCAGACCGTCGAATTAAAGAAAAGAGATAGCAGAGGTTATCGACATGTCAACAGAACATGTTGACACATACTATATCAAGATTTAGGCATGAGAAGGCTGTCCGTGCGTTGGGTGCCACATTTGCTCACGTAAGACCAGAAACGTGTTCAAATGAACATTTCCAACTCTCTGTTGGCGCAGTTTAGGCGCAATAAATCCAAGTTTTGGCGCCGATTAATTATTGTAACTGAAACTTGGATACACCATTATACGCCTGATCTGTAATATCAAAATATGTTCAAAGTAATAGTTTTACAATGAGGCCAGGGATATTACTACTTTAGATTCATTTATGATTCCTAAAACTATGAATGCCTATGATGTCTTTGCATGTATTACCTGATTTGGTGATGACTTAACTACACTGAGGCATCACATAAACAAAAGTAACTCACATATCTGGCTTTTTAGAATTCATTGATTGAATACAACTTAATTTTCAGGTCGCCTCTATTTATCCCTGCCTCACTGGCAGCCGTCCAGCAAAGACATCACGAAGCTGGAAGCGAGCCGGTAAGGGTTTGGAGGGACCCCAACCTGTTGCTGGAAGAGCCGCACGTTCGGCACATACATAGCGTTCAGCACCAGGTAGGTCAAGTAAGTGTTATTGACAATTTCTTTTTTATTGGTGGTGGTACATTTGAAATTATCTGACTGAGTTGTCATCAGTTCATTTGTCGATTTTATGGTCCTTTCTAATGATCACGGGAAGTCTTAAAAAAAGACCTTGGGAATTTATTACTGTTCTGTGCACTAAAGTGAGTATGACTAGAGCACTGTGAGTTTTTATATAGAAGTAAACTGAGCATTGAAATGGATACAACATACATCGGTGTTTATTTCAAATACTCATACTAGTCTATAATAAAATTAATGACGCTTGTCGTTGTTCATTAAAAGCGTTAATTTATTTATTTATTTATTTATTTGACACTTTGGTACATTGAGTACATGTGCTAAATCATAATTAAAAAACAAAATAAAACTACAGAAGTTGAACAATACAAAAACAATAAATATGGTTCACGTCCACAAACTTTCACAACATAGAAGTATTATATAAAAAATCGGAGAAGCTCTAGCAAATACTCTCAAAATGTCATGAAAAAGTGTCGTGCAAGAATTCCTCAAGACTGTAGTAACACTTCTGTAAGAGAAGTTTCTTCACCTCAATTTTAAAAAGTTTATCTGACTCGATTTTCCTAATAGATGCCGGCAAGTTATTATAACAGTTTGTTGTATTAAATAGTGGGGAGCATCTAAAGTGAGCCGTTTTGTGTGAGGGGGTTCTTAACAGTTTCCCATGACGGGTGTATCTACCATGTATATCCGCATTTGTGACAAATTCAGTTATATTGTTACGGGCAAAAGTGACACACTTCAAGATAAATAAAGAAGGTGCCGTCAATAGGCCTTCTCTTAAGAAAATTGGTCTACTACTATCTTGAAAATCTATATTAAAAATTAGTCTCAGCAATCTTTTCTGAGCAACAAAAACTCGTGGAAATTCCCTTGCACATCCCCAAGAAATGATATTAAAGCTGATGTGAGAATAAACCATAGAAAAATAGACGTTCATCAATCCAAAATTATCTAGAGTGTTTTTCAATTGTTTGATTGAGTAATATGCGGAATTGAGTTTGTTGCAGACCTTCTGAATATGACCGCTCCAGGTCAAATTTTCGTTTAAAGACGTTCCTAAAAACAAGACTTCGCTGGAAGATCGAATACCATTTATTGTGGAAGAGTCACTGCTGAAATTTTTCCTAATAAATGATTTCATTGAAACAGATTTAGATTTATTCAGAATAAGTTTGTTACGTTGACACCAAGCACTGAATTTATCTATTATTTTATTTATTTTGTCTGGCAACTCAACTTCGTTTTTGTCGGCCACAGTAATTGCAATGTCATCCGCAAACATGGTTATGTGACACTCAGAAAAGAATTCAGACAGGTCATTTATGAAATTGAGGAACAACAATGGTCCCACGACAGAACCTTGAGGCACTCCTAGTTTTACATCTTTGGGACTTGATAAAATTCCATTGCAGCTAACTATTAGACTACGTTAAAAGTATACTCAAACTATGCACCAATATGAATTTAACATGTACCAAGAATTGGCAATAATTGTGCACTGAAATGAATGTAGCATGTGTTTCAGTGTTTCAACTATACTAAAACTATGCGCCAAACTAAATATCACACTAGCACTAAAGTTATCATTCAAGTTTTTCAAAAGAAACTACTTTTGAAAAAGTGTATCAGGGTACTTTTCATTGTTTCAAATATGTTAATTTGTCTAAACTAGTTCAATATTTCTGAAATGTACATGCAAAAATCGTTAACACGATTATGTTATGATTAATTGATATCTTACTTTGGCATTCCTTTCAAAATAACTTGGCAGCCATTACATGCCCAACTCAACCATTATATATTTCAAATTAAATATTTGTGCTCCAGTGGATTGGCGTGAGTTATTGGCAACAGAAAGTGGGTCACATACCACTTGATTTTTATTACTGTTATTGGCTAGCAGCCATAATGTTACTCCTTTTATGTATACATTCCAGGTTTTCGTTTTCTATTTATTGACTGGCATTACTTTGGCTCCTCTCCATAATGATTTTTTTAAATAACGGTGACAACAAATGATTAAAATATAAATCTCAATGTAGCAGAAGATGACAACATGGGATTTGATTGAGGTGAACTATTGGAAAAAAACATTCTTTCTCATTTTGTACTGGCGGAGCAAGCATTTCAACTTGACATCATTAGGGAGGCATATGATTACTATAAAAATTTTCAATATTTAGATCCTGCTGTTTTTTGTCTTGAGTGTTACTACTACTTTGTTTCAGCAAAATCAATACCACGTTAACTAATATTCTGAAGTTGATTCATATTAGCAGTGTTTTTTTGCACATAATCAATGCATTACACCGAACATTTTTATTTGTAGGCATGTTCTAGGTTTTTTACAAATGAAAAGTCCAGTTTTTCAAAGATATGTTAAAATTATTTACCAGTATATCATGCTTATACTCAATATTGGAAGTGACTTCAACTCCAAAAATTGCATTTGAAAAACCTTCAATGATAATGTCTTGGCATGCTTTTATTAAAAGTTTCATTTGCAAACATGATTTTGGTTCACACACGTATAATGCAGGATACAGTGTTCAGATATTTCTCTTTATCATTTCATGAATTGAAAATCATTGTCGACTTCTGAGATTGAATCTCAAATTGTTTAAAAAAAACTTCATTAAAATAAATAGTCATATTAAAAAAGTTTATCTTAATTATTGCATTTTGGTTTTAGGAATTTCGATTTCAAATCTTGAAAAATTCATATTATTCAAATAAAATGAGTCTTCAGTCATCTCATGATTCATTAGATTTTTTAGTGATTTGATAATTTGTTTAGAGATAAGGAAATCTTGCATATAACAAAACAAAACCGTCGAATCAAATCAAAATATCCTTTATTACCCAAGATCTGAACATCTTATTGGCAAATTCTAGTAAAGTAAAACGTGTATATGGGACAGTTAACAAATATAGACTAAAATAATGGTTAGAGACAAGAGCAAAGTATATGGACAGAACAATATTAAGCCCAGCTGAACAGATACAAATATAAGTACATGAATATTGAGTAAATGTAAATGTATTGTAATGAACATTGATAGCCATTTCGTGTTGAATTCAATAACTTGTTTACACAAAGCTACATGCCAATTACTCTATAGAGCCTTGGTAGAATTTGTCTACACTATAATAGGGCCTCCCAACAAGGAATTCTTTTACTCTCTTTCTGAATTTCTTTTTATTATATATTCGCCTTAAATTAATGGGAAGGTGATTAAATAACTTCTTGCTATTGAAAATAATAGAATTTTGTGTGAGGGCTAGGTTAGGTGTTGGAAGGGAAATGAAGTAAGACTGACGTATACTATAAGTTGAGATGGTATTAAGTTGATTTTTATATTTTTTGTGGATAAGACACTCCGTTTCCAAAATAAAAAGACATACTAAGGTCAGAATTTTTTGCTTCACAAATAATGGGCGGCATGAATCCCTATAGCTAGCCTTGCACAAATATCTGATGGATCTTTTTTGTAGAAAATGTGCTTCCCCTATGTTTCATTTAAACGTGACCACATTTGTTTTGTCGAAGTTGAATGATGAAGATTGGACTCACACCACTCTTTCATCCTTACGTCGACGATGATTTGATCAATTAAATTTGAAGCGGTATTGCTATGCCAGAGGATAGTGGTGTCGTGAGCGAAACATGTGAATTTACCACTTATGTCAATAAATTTTATATGCACAAAAGAACCCTTTCTAATGTAGTGCAGTGATTCTCATAAAATGGCTAGGTACCATATATTTGATCCATATTCTAACCGAGAAATTATTAATGCAAAGTAAATTGTTCTTATGGATCTAACAGATAGGTTGCTACAGTTTCATGGAATGAAACCTAATGGTTTCGAAGTGTTAGCTGCAAAATAATTCACATGTTCTGCAAAACGTAACTGCTCATCAATAATAACACTTAGGTCTTTAACTGAAGTCACACATGTTAATTAGTTTTTCTTGATAGAGTATGAAGTGTGACATTTCTTATGTGATTTGTGAAAACTGATATAGCAACATTCATCAATGGTCATATGCAAATTGTTTTCATTACACGATGTAACCAAGTTGTTCTTAGCATCATTCAAAGGTTTTATATGATTCAGAGTGTGAGCTATTCTTAGTGAACTAGATCTTACAGATACAATTTGAAACTGCATATTATTGAATATACAGGGTGGCCATCGAAAACTTGACATGGAGGTTTTGGGTACTAATCTTGCAAATCCTAAAAAACGTTCAGACAGGTCAATTTTCATTGGGAGGGGGACAGTTGTTTTTCCATTTACAGCGTCGTCACTTCAACCCCAGAGCAGAGGGGTGAACAACCCTTGGAATTTTAATAGGGAACTGGGGGCGAGTCGCACATCGTTTGAAAGATCTTGGAATTCTCTAAACAACTGTGTACATTTTTTTTAATTTGGACGAATCATATTAAATTTAGAGGTGAAGTTACTTACTTTATTCTCATGTTAGCATATGCTCAAAATGGGCATCTCCAGCTTCCATGCAATAATAGAGATTCGGCCAAAGGTCTGGTGATCGTGGTGGCCAGTCGATAGTGCCCCGCCTCCCAATCCAGTGATCCGGGAAAGTCTGATCTAAATACTGCCGAACAGGCAGAGCATAGTGCGGAGGAGCCCCATCTTGTTGAAATATTAACATATCCTCCCGATAATTGTGGTCATTTTCAATAATATCACTGAGAAGGGGATTAATAATATCTTCCAGAAGCTCTAAATACATTTGTCCGGTTAAATTGCCTTCTGAAAACAATGGGTCAACAATACGGTCACCAAAAATTCCAGTCCATACATTTAATTTTTGTGGACGTTGAGTATGCACTTCATGAAAAATGTGAGGATTTGAATCAGCCCAATAGCGACAATGATGGCGATTGACTGTGCCATTTAGGAAAAAAAACATTCATGACTGAAGCAAATGTTGAAAACAAAATGTGGATTTTCCACCACTCGTTCATTAACCAACTTGCAAGCGTGGATCGAAATCATCTTCATTCAGTTCTTGCGTTAATTTAATCTTGTAAGGATGCATTTTGTGGGTTTTTGAAATACGTGGAATGCTAGTTCATGACATCCCGGAAACAAATGCTAACTTTCTTGTACTCAAAGTATGGTCAAGCTCAACATGGCCCGGTGTTACGACTTGTGTCGCCTCATTTGTTACTGGTGGTTCGATTTGCCGTTTTTTATTTACTACAAATCCAGTTGCGCGAAATTTTGCAGTTGAATCGAAAACGTACTGTCGCGACACTTCCTTATCATGTTGTTGATTGAACAGTTCAGCGGCTCTCGCAGCACAACGTCTATTTCCATTGTACAGTTCAATCAGCTCAACCCTCTCTACAGTTGTGTAAACCATTGTTTCTTTAGCAACACTTTACGGCACTCACTACTAGTAATAATGCAGATATCACTTTTAACATAAAAATGAGAAATAGAAACTGCATTTTTAACCATTTCTCAATTGTAATAGTCCTCTTATCAGAGAAGAACTGAAAAATTTACAAAAAAGTAGCGAACTAAACAAATGAAAGAGTTCCAAATACATTCCAACTGAGCAGTGGCGTACAACAATTTGTTGCTATTAACAATATTGAAAAAGTTAATTATCGGAAAGAACTCTTTATTTTACTAGGAAATATACTATACATTTTATAGTTCAGCAAGTTAATCGAGGATTTGGTTAGCTATACTAATTTCTGATTACATTACTGAGTTTGGCACCTAAGTGATTGAACACTTGTATTGTGCAATTCTATTATATATGCGGATTTCAAATAAGTCTTGTAATCCGCATATATAATAAAACAGTAACAAAGTAGCAATTTAACCATTTTTGTCTACAAGTGTAGAGATACAGTGTTGTATGGACTTTGTTCAAACGAAAGTATTATTATTTCTAGACGCTACTAATGTCACACTCTGGTACACCTGCCGCATCAGCCGGCCCGCCTCCGCCATCTTCAGTAGCATCGACCGGGCCTCATCCCGCGTCACTAGGCACCTACCCGGTAGTACCACCGCCTCCCAACCTCATGAGCCCCCACGTCCCCCTCGCGGGTCACCATCCCCACTTGGCGCCCCACACCCTCTACCATCCCCAATTCAGTGACATGCTCTGGAAGTCTAGTCAGCGGTCTCCTTATGGGGTTCCCGCCCACATATTGGCCGCCCAGCCGAATGCGGGGCATTCGGCAGTCGCCCAGGCGGCTGAAGAAATGATGGCTGAAAGGATGGTGTTGCAGGATAGGGATAGGCAGGAGAGGATGTACAGGTACGTTGCGGAGAGTAACAAATTTCATTTCATCTTTATTTGCCTCAAGAAAATTTTACATTTTATAGACACGTCCAAACCTTAACCCAAATAACTAAAGATCGATGGTAGAATAATTTGTAGTCCTGGGAATATAATCGAGGTTGACAATGATTGTGATATGGGATATTGAAGAATTTAAAAAAACATATATGATCTACATACAAGATAAAATACATTTTAAGGGATGACTAAATATGAATATATAAAATGTAATGTTTCTATTTGTAATTTTTTTCATGATAACGGTGACAAATATAATCTTCCTTTCGGTTTGTTGATAAATGATACTCGGTATAACAAAAACACAAATTTGTTTCGCTTATTTTCTGATTACAAAACTTCAAACTACCATACACTATATTTAGTATAAACAGGCGGTTTTGTGAACTATATAGTGAAAAATCCATAATAAAGTGTTCAATACGAAGTAATTCTTAATTTTTCTGAAGATAAATCTCCAGAAGTTTCTAGTATTTTATTTTCTAGAAAAAACAGATAAATTGGGGTTTAAGTATGTTTTCAATTCATTCAAAGAATGGTGATTTCTAGAATTTACCAGATGATCGAGAATGAGGTAGTTTAAGAAATATTTTCAGTTGCAAGACTTTGTTGAAAAAAAAATAATTGACAGGCATGTGATAAAAAAGTAAAAGTAGAATAAAAAAAAAATCTTCGAAAATTACTTTGAATTTATCAAAATATTAGAACACCATTAGATACACTCCCACTTCTATTCGAAGTTATATATCATTATTATGTTATATTCACAGAGCATGTCAAGAATGAACATGATTTGTTAAATTAATTAGTATTACTTTGTGGCATAACATAAGTGTCAGTCACTTAGATGCTAATTTATACACAATCTTTACTTTATGTTCTGTAATGAGTAATGTTCCTCCTGACGAAAATCAAGTAGTTTTCATAAAAGAGCTCTAAAACAACCCATTTTAAACTCATCATTTCAATCTTTTTCTTTAAAAATTATTTGAATACTTGAAAAAGAGAAATGAAATAATTCATTCAACATTTAAAGGGATTCGTTTCTATTTCACCATTTGGCAACATCAGTTATAGCTAATAAAGGACAATGAATCTGTTACCTGTATGAGACAAACAAAGATAATATTTCAGAGGCGTGCTGTTCTGTTTACTTATGTTCCGAGTTCCAACACATTCAGTGACATGATATTTTGTGCACCTAACTTATCTTCCTCTATATAAATAAATAACAAAACAACTGTTGTTTATGTGGCTTGTGGAGGTGGTATTGAACTATAATTTATATTTTGCCTTAATAGTTGATTCATAAAGATAATTTTCCTTTTTTAAAGTAGGTACGCATAAATTATTTCAACTTGATCTAGGCGCTGTTGCCAATATGTGAATTAGAAACAAATCCCTTTAAAAATAATCCTGAATTAATTACCGTAATCCATAGTAGGTAGTTCTTTTTCTATATTTATTAATATGATTGTATCGAATCACTCTGTAGAAAGTCCTGACATGTGGTTATCTTTAATAGTGAATAACATTTGACCACATCCTTTGTTTTTAGAGAGAGGCAAAATCAAGAGATAGCTGAAAAGCAGCAAAAAGAAAGAATGGAAAGAGATAAACAGGAACGGGAAAAACTTGAAAAAGAACGACAAGAGAAGGAAATAGTATTGGAGAAGGAGAGGCAAGAGCAAGCCTTACACAACCATTTTGAAAAGTCGTTGAGGGCAGCCCAACAAAAGGTATGTATTGACGTTGTGAACTGAGAGCATATTCCACTTACATTAACAACCTGTGATGTTCTGTATTTGCTACTATTGAAAAGCCATGATTATGAAATCATACTGAGGAAGGAATTTCCAAAAGTAGCAATGCCAGGAATAATGACTGAAATTTTTCAAACAAGTTTTTGTTTCACAGAGGGAACAATGGACTTCTATTACCGGTAGGCCTACGCAGGGTCGGACTGCGGGTATTTCAGAAGAAGATAGGAAACGAATGGAGGAAGTTCATCACCGAGAACAACAGAGGCACATGTCTGTCAGAGATAACAGGGATCATAGATCGTACTATAACACGGTGAGTACAATGAAATTATAATCAGTTTTGTTCATATTTGTACTTGTTGAAAAAAATCTGGAAATCCACCAATAAATTACTAAATGCGCTATGGTATCTCCTGCTCTCATTAATTATATAAGAGTAGGTCGAATCGGTGCTAAATAAAGTGGATATATTGCATCGTTGGAATTTAGTTCATTAAATGTCTAACTTCCTGGTTTTAAGCATCCTACACAAGTTCACTTCTTGAAACGTATTAATCTTCCCTGAAGAAAAAACATTACTTTATGGTGTTTTCTTTGCAGGTTCAGAGACCACCAAGTGTTCCTTCCAAAACGGAATATCCGCCTCCTCCTGCTCACAGTCGCAGTGTAACTTCTAAATCGTCTGAAAAAATAACCACTATGCCTGTACAGCAGCAGGCTGCTCCTAAAACCGATATGAGCATGTACGGCTATTCAACTCTTCACGCCTCACAAAACGCATTTTTCGAACCAAAGATAAAAACAGAGATGCATAAAAACCAGTCCGGGAGCCTGGTAGTCACAAAGACCGGTCCCATGGATAGAGACGGGACTGCTATGGTGAGCGAAATGAAGAATTCCGTGATAGTGAAACACGAGGGCAAAAACCCTCATCTTCTTGAACAGCGCGTTTCAATGGCTCATTCGCCTAGTCCCAAATTGCGAACCGAGATGCTGGGACATTACCAAAGCCAGGCAGGACAAAATAAAGGCATGTACGAATACAGGAGTCCCACACAATCACCACATCATCTTACGCATGCAGCGAGTCCTCACCATCACATGGAACCACAAAACTTGGGAAAAGTGCAGAGCCATCATAGGCCAACTGGTCAAATGTCCAGTCCACACCACCAAAGGCAGAGTCCCCATCAGCACCCGCACAGTCAACCTCACCCTTCGCCGGAGATGAGGTACAGAACTGGGGCTGATGGCCAGACGATGATTTATCAAACATCAGGTGATTTCTCCTTTTCTTTTCATCATCTCATAGGATACCAAAGATCGCTACCAACAAATATGTTATAATAAAAAATTATTTCAGCAAAAGCAAGTTACCCATTCACGACGGCTGGCTACACCATGACGACATCTCCCAGCGTTGCCAACTCGAAACCAAAAGTCAGTAGTCCGGCTCCACACCAAATATTCGGAAAACCTCCCGTTGGGAGCGGCGTTTCGGTTGTGCCGGTAACTCGTTCTCCCCACGATACTACCACGCCTATTCCGTTAACAAAACCGCCGCTATCTTCATCAATATCCCCCTCTCCTTACCAACAAGTTTCTCAGTATCACCCGCCTCACAACCCTACTCCACCACTGGTCACTCTACTTCCTCCTCCCGCGCACAGCAGCCGAACGACGTCCAGCATATTGGATCGGTACGATAGAACAGCTGGATTCGTTCCTTGCAGGGTTTCTTTGAAACCAGTGGGTTCTGGAACTTCACCTCCGGCAGCAACTTCAGCTCCGATGTCAATTGCGAGAGCTTATCAACCTCTCACTCAAAATTTGACTGGAAACCAACAGGTAAGTGAATATCTACACATTCTATGTAGCACTAGCACTATTGTTTTCATATGTGAAAATTCAAACTGGAACCTTACTTATTTAGTTCGTAAAGAAATTAACTGGATAGGCAACATCCTTCTTCATAGATCAGTTGAGAACTAAAATGAACCGAAATATTGATTGAGAGCACCTACTTTTGGCAACTTTTGGGCAAATACATTTTGCTTAAAAGATTTTCTGAAACAAGGGTATAATAATCCCAAAACCAGTATATTCCTCTTAGTATTTATTTTATTTAATAAATATAAAAAACAACATTGATGCACTCTTTATACTAGGAATATGATGGTGACAGTTATAAATTTCATATCGGATTTATTGTATTGTATATCGTATCTCGTTAGTGTGCACCCTGCACATATTTAATAAGAGAATATTTGGTGTCAGGTGTGGCCTTCCATAAAACTTGTGTTTTCAAAAAGTTCCATATTGACAGTTGAATCAAATGTTTTATATTAAGATAAAACTGCAAACTCATATATTTATTTTAGGTGCAAACTCAACCGCTGGATTTAGGTGTAAGCTCAAACAAGTACGAAACCAACCAGGGCATCTCCCCCAAACGCAAAGCTAGCACGCCAATCAGCATTCCCGGTCATCCCAACAGTCCTCCCGTCTGTCTGGAAATCAAGAAACCCAGGATCGACCCTATTGTGAGCACTTCAGCGCAACCGAGCCTGAGCATATTCAGCAGCATAACGTCGCAGCCCCAACTGGCCAGAGTGAGCGAACCGAGTCCATTGATAGCGAGCGCAGCCACTACCATAACTACAGTTGTGAACACCGCCGCTTACCGGACGCCTCCGACTAGTGTAGCGGCTGCTCTGATAACGCACAGTCCGACGACTCTGGCCGAGAACTTACCGGACGTCAGCGTAACGGCGGTGACGATCGAACCGGTGAGGCCCGCTTCTATAGGGGAGCAGCAGAGTCCTAAGCCACCCACGCCGACGATACCGTTGAGTACTAGCCCCGCGCCGGTTAGCACCGGTTCCACGCCGACGCCGCCTGCTAGCGTGACCCCGGGTCCGACTGACGAACAGCCCGGTACGCCAGTGAAAGTGAACCCTAGTGTTCTGGACTCGGAGAAGTCCAACAGCCCCGGTCCGCAGAAGACATCAAATAGCGGTAGTTATCCCGTGCGGCATTTGAAGAAAGCATGGCTGCAGAGGCATACGGGCGAGGACTTAGAAGACACTACTGGCATTGTCGGTTCTGGTACTTGCTTGACGTTACCTTTGAACATCAAAAGTCCCACAACGACTGTGACAACCCCTGCGGTCAAAGAAAACCCTGTCAATTCGATCCACTCGATCGGTTCAATGGCGGTGAACAGTATAAACAAGACGAAACATTTTTCTAATAAAGCGGCGAATCGCAAAGTCGCGAAAGAGATGACCGTGAACGGCGATACAAAAAATGACGATTCGTCGAGTAGTGATCAAGAGCGCGGGCGCAAATCGCCTCCGAAGCGGAAACCGCCGAAAGTGAAGAGAAAAAAGGGCGGGGGTGCGGTGAAGAAACCCGTTGATGATAAGAAGCGCAAACCCGGAGCGCAGACGGTCGCGGCGGCTAGCGAGAGCGGCAGTGACAGTGACAAGGAAAGCGGCAGCGAGAAGGATAGTGATTCAGGCGCGAGTGCATCTGCGCCGAGCAAGAAATCTAGCGGTTCGGGCAAGGAGCAGCGAAAGCGCGGCAGAAAACCGAAGGGTTCAAAAAACGATAAGAGCGAGGAGCCACGTCCCAAGAAGAGCAAAGATGACAACCAGCCCCCGCGTGACCCCTTTCGCAAACCCCCAGTGGGGCAATTGAAGAAGACCGGTGAGAGTTTCCTGCAGGACGGGCCCTGCTTCGAGGTAGCCCCGAAGCTGGCCAAGTGTCGCGAGTGCAGGTGGACTCCGAACCAGAGGTCAAAGAACATGCCGAACATCTTCTGCAGGTTTTATGCCTTTAGGAGATTGAGGTACACCAAGAATGGGCAGCTTGCCATCGCAGGCTTCTCCGATCCTCATAAGGATGCTTTGGAGGTGAGTTTTTTAAAATATTATTCAAAAAATGAGTTTGGACAGCTCAGGCTCAATAACAATAACAAAAAATTGAAGAAAAGATCAGCAGTGCATACTTGTAATGCTACGTAACATAACCTCATACTGCAAGTTCTGTAGCGAGAAAAGAATACACCTGCTTTTAACAAATTGTGTGATCATAAAAAAAATTGTGTTGCAAAATAATATAAATGAGGAACATAATGAGACGACAACCTAGCAGTTTTTTTTTTTTTTATATAGTTTAATAACTGCAAATATTCTCCAAGAACTCGGAGATACTGTTTTTTTTTCTTTGTGTTTCGAATAGTGAGAGTAAAGGAGAATTGAAGAAAGTTTCATCAACATTGCATGGGCTGTTTGTGTTTGAAATGTCCCATAAAATTCTCCGCTATCATCAAACGTAATTTCTATTATAATTTCTGAAATTAAAACAATTATCATTTATTCATAGGATGACCTCAGGCTGTGGCTTCCCAATGCAGATACTCCGCCACCGGACTTAGATCTGGAAACGTCAAGGTTTCTTCTGAAACAAGTCGGTGATCATTTTTGTGATTTATTAGTACAAGAAAAGGATGCGAACTCAGAACATATGTCTGATGGTGAGTCTTGTGCCAGAACAAATTAAAAATGTCGAGTTAACTTCCAATTTGTTTTCAGATAAGGTCGTAGCATGGAAGAGAGTTGTGCAAGGTGTGAGAGAAATGTGTGACGTCTGTGAAACGACACTTTTCAATTTCCATTGGGCCTGTGGAAAATGCGGATTCGTCGTTTGTATAGATTGTTATAAGGTAGGTTTTGAAAAAAAATCATACAATGCAGTGCATTCTCGCATACTTTTATTCGTGAAGTTAATTCAATATTTTTAATTTTTCAGAGTCGAAAGAAGGGCACCATAAAAGTCTGGGGCGAGCCTGGGAAAGATCGCGACGAATTTTCCTGGCTACTGTGTACTAATCGACAGGTACACGAGCAGGAAAAACTCATGCTCACCCAAATAATAGCAGGAGATTCGTTAGTGAAACTGGGAAAGATGGTGCACGAAATGCGCGAGTTGTGGAACATCGATCAGCTGTGCAGTTGTCCAATGAGTAAGGAGGCGGCACTGAAGAACAACAATCTTCAAGCCAAAGAAGTGATCAGATCTATACTGGGCGATAAGGTGAACGGGATTAAAGATATCAAAGATGAAGATGGTGAGTGTATAAAAGAAAATAAAAATGTATCGTTAAAACTCGTATCCATGAATTGCCGGCTCTATAATCTCGATATCCTACTTTCAGATGTTGGCTTAGACCGAGAGGAAAAGAAAGAGGGCAGCAGCAGCGAGGAGGAGGGCAACTTCTCCACCTTGCGCGAGCTACTCATCCGCCCCTCCCACAAGCCGAACGGTTCTCGAGCAGCCTCGCCCGTCTCTAAGAACGAGCCCAAAAAGAAACTGGCGGCTCCCACGAAACCTGCTGATTTGGATGACGTCATCTCGAGCGTAATAGAAGATAGCGTCCCACAGAAGGCCGTGGAAACTCCAACAGAACCGAAATTCGAGCTCAAACATTTTATCAGGAGGTACAATTGGGCTGGCAAAGGGAGAGTGCAATTGCCGATACGGATAATGACACTGACTGAGAGCAAGACTTTGTATCCTGAGACTCCGCATAGTTGGCTGTGCGACGGGAAGCTGTTGAGGTTGAGTGACCCACAGTGCAAGAATAACTATAAGATTTTCCAAGTTAGTAACAATTTTATTTTGAATTCACAGGGTACTATAAAAATCATGACTAAAGATAAAAACAAATAATTTCTTGTCCTGGCTCGTGTCGCACTGAATTGCTGTAATTAAATGCACTACTACTACTACTTTTCAAATTCTGGTTTAGCTATTCATTTCTATGCCATCCTGTTTTTGTGTAGGTAATTTGATATTTGCCCTTTTTCTAACATTCTCCATTGTCTTTCCAAAAATTTCATTATTCATGATTTTTCTCAAAATCATTTTCACATTTTTTTCTTCGACTTGTTTCCAAACTTTTATTAGGTAAAGTTTGTCATAAACAATTTCTGGATGTCTTCCTAAGATTTACAAGTGTACGTGTTTTGTACATAATTGATATACAGTATTGTCAAGGTTGATACACATTACACATAGGGATGTTTTTTTATTATTGCTGTTTATTATTTCAGGATCAGTGGAAGCGGGGTCAGCCGGTCATAGTTTCGGACGTCACACGACACGTAGATCAGGACCTCTGGAATCCAGATGCTTTTGCTCGTGATTTCGGCGACGAGAAAAACGATCTAGTCAATTGCATGACGGGCAATCTAGTTCCCAACCAGCCGATGCGAAAGTTTTGGGAGGGTTTCGACCATTTCAGTAAGCGACTTAAAGACGACCGGGGCCAACCAATGTTGCTGAAACTGAAAGACTGGCCTCCGGGTGAAGATTTCGCGGAGTTGTTACCGTCCCGCTACACCGACCTGATGAAAGTTCTGCCCTTGTCGGAGTACACCCACAGGACGGGCAGACTGAACTTGGCCAGCCGTTTGCCGGAATGTTTCGTTCGGCCCGATTTGGGACCCAAGATGTACAACGCTTACGGATCGGCGCTTCACCCTAGCAAAGGCACGACGAACTTGCATTTGGATATATCCGATGCCGTCAATGTCATGGTGTATGTTGGCATACCGAAAGATGGCGACACCGACGAGCACATCAAGGAAGCTTTCCGCGCCATTGACGAAGCCGGTTGTGATATCCTGACCCGCCGAAGGGTTAGAGACAAGGGCGAGCTACCCGGCGCCCTCTGGCACATCTACAATGCGCGCGACGCTGACAAAATCAGAGATCTGCTCAACAAAGTGGTAGTGGAAAAAGGCGGCAGGTTGGAGCCCCATCATGATCCCATCCACGACCAGAGCTGCTATCTAGACGGACCTTTGCGAGAGAGATTGTACAAGGAGTACGGTGTCGAAGGGTACGCAATAGTGCAGTGCAAGGGAGATGCCGTGTTCATTCCGGCCGGTGCGCCTCATCAAGTTCGGAACTTGCACAATTGCATTAAGGTTAGTTTCAGTTGTTTTCTCATAAGTCAGCTTTCATTAATTTAAATCACTTGTCAAAGTGTTTTCCATTGCATAACAACATTTTTGTTTATGGAGGAGTATTCGTGAGCTTCAGAATTCACATCTAAATTCACTTGCCGACATAAAATATCAATTTTGTTTTTTATTGTTTTATTTAATTATCAGATATTTGATGAAAATACATACAAATACAAAATGTGTAGTTTTTGTTGAATCTCTTAGGAACATTTCAAATGCTGAATTCAACAATTTTGAGTTATTCTGTGGATAAGCCTCTTGATTTTTCTAATGATTATTGATTCATGTTTGTCCAAAGCACTATTGATCTAAACTATGACCTGTTTTCAAGGTTTTCAGTACAAGAAATAGTGCAATATAAAATACAGGCTAGAGTGAAAGGCTGACTGATCAGTAGATGGTTTTTCTCATTCACCTGTTACATTCGTGTTTATTAGTGAATTCAGGTTTCATACGAGTAAACTCGACACCCAACAATGGATCTAATATTTCATCACAAAAAATTGTTGTAATTAAAATGTGTGTGTCCGAATCACTGAAATCGGAGTACTTGAAACCATTGAAAAGTTTTTAATTCTCTTTTTTTCTTGCAGGTGGCTGAGGATTTCGTGTCGCCCGAGAACGTGTCACACTGTTTCCACTTGACTCAGGAGTTCAGAGACCTCACCGATACACACTCTAACCATGAGGACAAGCTTCAAATAAAGAACATTATATACCACGCCGTGAAAGACTCTCTGTCGACATTAAGTGCAATAATGAACGAACATTTGAATGTGAAGAGTGAGAAGGAATCGTCGGGTAGTGAGAGGAGTAACGGCAGCACCTCTAACGACGCCGACAACTCTGCCAAATCAGACTCTAATGAGGCGACTTGAGAATTGAATTCATTGTGATAGTAGACGCAACTTTTTCAAATTTACTACTTCATGTGTGATATATTAAAGTTAGACTTTGGGGTGCGAAACGAGGTCAGAGGTCGATCGCAAATTGTCTGTGATCCATTCTCGGGTTCCTCATTTTCTACATTCCCGAAGACTTGACTCTTGGTGGAGTACTTTTCTTTTTCTGTGTACATAGGTGTACAAAAGTGACTTGTATTTCGTTTTTCGAATGAATTTCAATGCTGAATATGCACGGTTTACCTTCCTGTATGTAGAGAATAGTGGCCAATAGGCGAGTCACGACTTGTACTTTATCCTATTACACTCTCTCATTTGGTTATTTGGTGTCTGTCCATTTGACCTCGAGTGGAACTTGTCGAAGGACTGTCGGAACTTTTTTTTTTCAATTGCATTATTACTTCCATTGCTTTTCAAACTTGGATGATTTTAATCGATATCAATATTTCTATTTTTGCTCATTTCTAGAATACAGATCGTTATTTTAGTACCTGAATTTCTTTTCCTCAAAATAGATGGGAAAGATGAGTAGTTATTATTAAAAAGCAAAAGTTGTTAATCATTTGGTATATATCGCCTGTGTTTGAATAATAATGTATACAAAATTATTATTTTGGACCATAGAATTGAACGCTCAGATCCTTAGTTCAGTTTCCGATATCATTCGACAATCCAACTTTATATATCAGTGTTGTTTAAAAGTACCAATTGTTATTTTTAATTATAACTGTATACTGTGCCTGTCAAAAGAAAATATGGTATTTTTAGCAAAATCCGCTATTCAGTATTCTGTGTGGGTTAGCAACATGTTCTAACTAGATTAAACACTGTGTTAGACTTATGCTTCTTCAAAAGATGTGTATGCAGCATGATACAAAATTGAGGCTGCTGCTTTTGATTTTGTATCACCTAGCTAATGAATCGAAGAATAACTTTAAAGTGCTATTTCAAAGTGCCAATTCGTTACTTCAGGCGAACAATCGCTGTTACGTGGAGCCAACGGATGCTTACTAGTGGGGGATAGTTTTTCCGTTGGTCCCGTTATTGAAAAAAAAGTCGTTAAGTTATAAATGATCTCGATTGTGTTTTTCTCCTTACAACGATGAACGAAAGATAATCTTCAAACAGGAAAATTTCAAAGAATGAAAGTCAACAACTTTGATCCCATTAATTTAATGGTTTACGTTTGTTTTTATAAATTGCTTTAATAATTTCAGTTCGGACGTTTCGGCGAATGGATTTGATTTCTCGATTTTTTTGTATATATGAAATGTTCATTTATATGTATATTGTTTCAAGGACACATTATTTATTTGCTTTCACAGTAATGTACAGTAGTATAGATTTTTGTACAGTAACGAATATATGTTTCCTTTGATTGCCTCTATTCGGAGGCTCAATATAGTTTTTTTGTACTATGTATATTATGTAAGATTATAGGTTTGAATAAGAAAATGTTTATTACAATATTTGTTTTTCATTTTTATTCAACCTAACAAAGATTTTTGGATTTGCAAGTAACATTCTTTATTACAGGTAGACAAAAAAAGTGATAAAAATGACTCAAAAATTAGATTACATAAGAAGAGACACAAACTGTATTGATGTTTTGCATGTTCGGCGATTTAATGCCATAAAAAAATGGGTCAAAGAATTTACGTCAAATGTTGTGTAAAAAATGGAATTAAGATCTCAAAAACACTTGAAATGTTGAGAGTGGCATATGGTGATTGTACTACTCTTGGTCAGAAAAGTATTTACAAATGGTAAAAGCCTTTACTTTCTCAACATTTTTATAGGTTGTTGATGTTCAGGATGAGCATCGTCATTATTATTAATTCCTTTATTTAGCATAAGCTAATATACAATCATACTATCATTAGTGTCCAAATATTCGAACAATGAATTACAAATATAACTCTGAGAACTAATCATAATACATGACTGAAAGAATGGGCAGCACAGATCTTCTACTAGGGTGTCACTATAGGACAGCTCTTCCAGAAAAAAAAGTCACTATTTTCAATACAATTTATTTCAAACAAAAATAAATGAACATATCATTTTCTAGTGGAGTATAAATTAGAAAATCAAGTGTTTTTATTGATAAAGGTAACAGATTTCATAAATAATACAATTATGTTAAGTGTACAAATATACAAATAGAACAATTGCAATATTTTCAAGAAACTCAAAAGAAGGTAATCAAGTCAGTTTCTCAAACTTCCCTGAAAAATTTCTTGCCAAGTTGTTACTTCACCACATCACATATAACATATACCTTTTCAACTGAACATTTTGGGCACCGGTAAAGTTATCATTGGATGTACTGGTTGTACAAGGTAATGTTAGATTTTGACCTAAGTGTGTGGAAATAGCCGTTTTATCAGAATTTGCAAAATGATGGGCAAATAGGTCTGCTACAGCAGAAGGGTGTTTAACCACAACTGATTCATGATGGAGAGTGATAACATTTATCAGTAAAACACTTTTTTTCCCAACTCATTGTTTACTATATTCAACGTTTCTTTAGTTTTGTTACTGGCATTGTCAATTTTAGTGGAAAAGTAACTAATCTTTTTTTGCTTAACGTTATTCTTGTGTTGTTTCAGCCTAGATTTGTATACAACCCCAGTATGATTCTCACGGCTCTATTTTGTTGCTTTTGAAGTCGATCCAACTCGTTTTTATTAGCCGTATATAGTATTGAAGAACAGAAAGTAAGATGTGTCAACATTTCAAGTGTTTTTGAGCACAACTACATTTTACACAAAATTTGATGTAAATTATTTTAGCAACTTTTTCAAAAGCATCAAGTTTTGCTGGAAGGTCTTTTCTTATATAATTTGCATATTATGGAACTCACCACAAAATGAATAGATTTTTTTTCCTTCTGGTTGGATTTTTCAATGTTTTTTGAAAATGTGATGGAATGAAGATCAATTTATTAGAAAAGAAATTTGTTGGCTTTCTACTTCTCCCATCTTCATACATAAAAATGTGGGAATCTCCAAAAAAGGAAGTAATCAATTCCACTAGAAGTAACTATACATAGACGTGTAGATCATGCAAAGAAGTAACTCTCAGAGAAATACTGGATGAAAAAGCTCTCGCGAAACACAGCTGAAATATGGGTTCAATGATAAACTGTGTTATATATGAAAATATATTCAGGAGCTGTGTGTGATACAATTTCACTCGATTGCTGGTAATTGCAAAAGTGACGTTAATAAAGTTTGTTCTGGTTCTACGAAATTTAGGTTCTAGGACGTCAGGATCGTGTCACAGCATTGCAGTTGATATAAAGCGTTCTGGTGACATATTGAAATTGAACTGTCTAATCCAACTTCAATTTTCCTTCTCACTTCAACTTCACGTCATCAATCAGAAACCAGCTATGTACACAAAACTGATTAACTGAAAATGAAAGTGCTCATACAAATTTAATCATGAAATTCTCACCTATGTGCTATCAAGGTACTATATAAATAGTACCAAGAACCTCAAATAAATATATTTTCATTAATGATTTGTTTTCTTTACAAATTATTGTTTCTATATTTTTTTGAATTCCATACTGTTCGGTTTTTGTTTAACTTTTTAAATATCATTTTTTTTTACTCATCGTATTTTTCATATATTTTTACTGAATTTTTCTCTCAGATAGATTTCTTTGCCAACTTTTATCCAGTCGGTCATTTGTCAAGGATATGTTTATCGTTTAAAATTAGTAAATTTGTGATCGGAGCTACTCACGAATCGTAGACGTCCCGAGCATGTTATTCACACCTAAAGTGTATGCCGAAACCTTGCAAAATGAACTTCAAATTCCCGAAACAAACCAATTATTCATTTTTCAGGCACTTGAGCAGCTATTAAAATTAAACTGTCGTCTGAGTAGAAAGGACCGTCTTGACTTCGCGCCATCTGACGGCCTTGCTTTGGGTGGTGCCAGTTTGTTCGTTTGTTATTCCCTTGGTTTAAATAATCCGAAATAGAGATGAGGGGTTATGGAGAGTTTGTTTACATTTGAAGTAAGTTGGACCATAANGGTGGAGGAATGACGGTTTGAGAATCCATTTTTGGTTTCGATGAAGGTGGTCCAGCAACATCTACACACTTATCTGATGGTTCCTTCTTTTCTTTTGGTTTTCCTTTACTCTCTGGAGGGTTCTTCTGGGAATCTTTACCACCGGCCTCTTTCAATTGGTCACTCGCCTGTTTTTGTGCATCTTTTGCTTCTTTATCTTTCTGCAAGGCTTTCTCAATTTTATCTTCAACTTCTAGGATTTCTTCTTTGTCCAGAAGGTCGATCAACTCATCGATTTGTTTGGCGCTGAGTTTCACGTTCTCTTTTCCGATTATCTCAATCACCTGCAATGTGAATATAGTCAATCAGTAATATTACTCATTCCGAGGACAACATTTACTGTTTCCTTCAAATCGGGTATTTGAGTTTCAAGGAATAATTATTATTCACATTATTTATTATAATTATACATTATAGTTATTAAACCACACCGATATGGTATTAAATGTAATACACTAAAGTTGATTTGATCATTCTTGATAACAAATCACAGAAAGAATGTGTCAATGCCGTTATTCAAACAACAACAAAAATAGGGTAGCATCAGGGTGTATTCTTTATCAGCAATATGTAATTATTTTTGCTGATCTCAAACAACCTGAATTAAGACCAATTGATAACGATATAATTAGTTATTGGACCCCACTGGATATATATCCAGATAATCTTCAATGGTTATTGGGTAAGACAGTTCAAATTGTTTGGTTAATATTTTCTTCAATAAGTTTTTGAATCTTCTAAATGGCAAGTTACAAAATTCGGCAGATAAGACATTGTATAGCTTAATTCCTATATTATCTGTTCTTTTCAACCTATTAGCTGTAGGAACAAGGTTTGATTTATTTCTTGTATCATGTTGGTGTATATCCTTGTGAGCAACTTCATTCAACAAGTTTTGTTGAACAAGAAGCAGATTTTCATAGANTTTTTTCGTTAACCAGCTGTCGCCCTCCTCCGAATGAAAACCCTCAGAAGTCAAAATTTGTGCGTGCTATTACGGGATTAATGTCAGTAGATAAAATATTTGCCTGTCGCGATAATAATTCGGAATTATAGCTTAAATTTTGTTTTTCGTTAATGAAACTCAGTTGCGTATCTACATGATATATTCTTTAAAAAAATCTGAAATATTTAGATAACTTACAAATGTATGTTAACTCAAAATACTTCCAGTTGTTTCTTCATTGATGGGTAAAATAGGATTATTTACGTTTCGAACAATTAAATCAATTGAAAAGTTAACTATTGGCATTTGTTGTAGATAATGCATTTTATTCTATGAAAGAGTATTTGGCAGTATGATGATTTTGGCAGTTTCTGAAAGATAGGCAGATTCTCGACAGTTTGAATGTTCAATGTAATTTTTTTTCCTAATCAGGTAATTATTTTGATATTGAGATATTGTATGTAAATCCATAATTGACTAGTCTGATGAGCATTAATAGAATAGATTGCTTTAATGATGAATAAAGTTACTACTACTACTACTTTCAATTTCAACTATTTCATATTTAGCTTTTTCCACTCTGTTGGTAGAGGGTAATAAATTTTCATAAGAAAAAACACCCATTGTTTTTACAATGCATCTTTGAGTTTGGTATGTGAATCCTGGAGCCACTATCATATGTTTGATCTTATGGATCTCCACTCTTTTTTTTCAAAAAATTTTGAGTTTAATATTTCACACACATCCATCTAAAATATACTTAATGTATGGAAGGTCAAACTTTCTTCAAATACATCTCTCATATAAACTTACTCATAAACAGATATACTTATCTTGGCCAGGTTCCCATCATTTATTTTTATCTACAATGAACATCAAGTGATCAGCTGATAGTCAAACATTTGTTTTGTCTGATCCCAAATAAAACTGTTTCCTGATAAACGTATATTTGAGTTAGCAACATAGGATTACAATATATTCGTTTATTAAATTTCTGTATGATGTATTGAGGTAACTTCACTAGTTGATGAATAGAAAGTTAAGTACAATGTGAGACAAAAGAAAGTCAACTCATGGAAAAAAATATATAAAAGAGACGTATGGGAATATTGTGGCTCTAAGTCAGCCCCGAAGAACGGCGGAATAATAATAATAATAACTTTATTCAACTTTTCGATCATTCACATGATATCAGACATGTCATAAATAAAAAGTATAAAAATTATACAAACAATAATAAAGGTCCACAGAATATTTTGCTTATCGGATATGTAGAACGTTCTGGAAACAGCAATGAATCATTTCAATAAAACTGAACAAAATCTACCAGAAGTAAAGCATCTATAGGTTTTTTTACTGGTGTTTGACAAATAAAAAATGAAAACCAAATATTACCATTGAAAAGAATGTTTTGAATTATTCATAATATTTCTCTTGATAATTGATTCTCTCTGCACGTTTGCAGGAATAAATTATACTCAATGACAAAAAAATTGTAAAACTCGTTGGTACAGGAAAACCACCTCAACAAATATAAATGAAAGTAAAGATAAAGTGTACAGCTTATTCGAAAACATCTATTTTAGATTCCAAGAACGCATTTTTGAAATTATATTTTCAAATATAAATAATTATTTGTATCAAATGACTTATCTATCTCCAACTGAAGCTCATGATAATATTTATCCATTGATAATTTTATACAGACAGGAACATTTTTCTGAGTGAAAGGTACTTCAGACAATTTGATTAGACCTATCTGATCTTGAAACATAAATCTCGAAATCTAGTTTTCTCAAAGTAACCGTAAATAATGTAAATCTATTTACCTTCAAAACATCTTCGACTTTGAGAGATCCGTCATGATCATCGTCCATCCTCTTCAAAACATTCGTGATCTGCTCGATTTTGCTTTGGTCTTGCACACCCTTCAATTTGTTGATAGCAGCCATGATATCATCAATTTTCAACAACTCCTCCTTCTTCTTATCGGTCGCTTCAACCTCAAGATCCTTCTTCAACTGTTTCTCTTTCTTTTCTAGGTCGACCATCACAGTGTCCAATTTATTGATCATCTTATTGACGCTCTTGAAAAGACGTTGGGCGGCCTTGGTTTCCTTAATCTCAGGTTTGGGCTGGGAAGCGACAGCCTTAGCCAGATCTTCAACGTCCTCTTTATAGTCGGCCATTTCAGCTTTGAGCTCTTGGATTTCTTCTTTTTCCACCACCAGGTTCTTCTCTTTCGACACAGTGTCGATAGCGTGTTCGATGATTTCAAAGTCTTTCGACTGCAAAGGTTCTTCCTTCTTCTCGGTTTTCTCCAGTTTTTCGGCACTTATCCTCAAAGCTGTATCTTCCAGGATGGGGGTGGTGGCTGTAGATACGATAGGGGCTTTGTCCACAAGGATTTCTTTGTCTTTTTCCAACTTCTTTTGTTCCTCTCTGCGCTCTTCCCGCTCTTCGACGATCTTCTGTTGTTCCTCTTTGATAATTTCTGCACGAACCCTGTTGTCGATTTTTCCTATAAATGGAAAAAAAAACAAGTCATTAATCGTATTTATAATATTCCACAGGTAAAATTTCACAGAGGAAATATGTTGATTTGGATACTCTGAATGGTTTTTCGAAATAATTATATTTCAATAAATAGTTTTAGGAAAATGATTACATTTGTGAACTCTCTTGGGAGTTAGTCTAGCAGCAATTTTTTTAAAGACATTAAACCGGTGTATATTCAGAATACATCATTTCATCAACAATCATAATCTGACTTGGAAAGGTTGCAATGAGACCGTTTCTAATTAACTGAATTAAGTTTTTTACTTTTATCAATTTTTTGTTATATTTAGTTTATTTTCAAATAGATTCAGCTGCTGATAATTTGATTTGAAAATTCATGACAAAATCATAGATACATGAACAATTGGGAAAAAGGCTTGATAATTTTTTGTTGTCTAGATGATCTCTCGAATTTTTCTGTATTTCACAAAGAGCGGAACCTGTGCTTTAATTTTAAATGAATCTATGTGATGAGAGATTTTCAAATACTTATTGATCTGAAAATGTCAATAGTTCACATGCCAAGGAGCCAAGACACTATGAAACTCTTAAAATACAAATTTGTTCTATGATTTCTTGTACAATTTTTGATTTGTTAAATTTGTATGAGTAGTTTTTAATCCCTATTAGTAAACATTTAATGTTTCTTGGGATAATAAAGATAATTCAATACAATAAGGTTTCATATTCCAGCAAAATTTTGCTTTGAGGAGTTCTAATTTTTTAAATTTCTCAATATCAAAATTTGCATTTATTTTCACTCCCTACTCCCACCAGAGTATTACTATAACAATGAATTGGCGCCTATATACCTTGCTCAAAAATTTGTTGATTTCTAAAAACATCTATTCACAACTTGAAAAATAAAATAACATTTTTTGATTCCAGAAGTTTTGGAATCCAGCAGTATTTACTTAATATCTGCAGTGCACTGAGGTGGAAAACAACTTGCAAAAAAACAAAACTACGTATGAAGATTCTAGACAATTCTCTTGTTCGAAAGAGACTTTGAAATAATGATAAAGCCTTCATAATACCTTTTTATACTAATGATATTATCCAACACTTCGTTCACCTGAAGTATAAGAAACTGTTAAAACACTGTGAACCTAAGAATTAAAGGTTTTCACTAAAAAGATATTCACATATGTTGCTGTGTCTTCAAATATCCAAAGCATATGACTGCTTGAATCATCAACTAATGTTAATAAAATTAGAAAGATATGGAATAAGAGGTAGGCGCTAAAGTGGGTTAAATCTTACCTATCAGATCGCTTTCAATCTGTAGAAATAAAAGGAAATGGAAGAGTCTATAAATCCGAAACCCTTCCTACAGACATGGGAATTCTACAGGGGAGCATTGCCGGCCCTCTTTTGTTCGTTATTTATTTGACTGACTTATGTATTCTAAACCTAAACCAACATCAGTTCAAAACTATCTTCGCAGATGACACAAGTCTGTTATCAAGTGGTGAAACCTTCCCAGAGATGATGGTAAATAGTACAGATCTATTCAAAAAAACTAAGGACTGGTTCAACAGAACTTGTACTAAATGAAGCGAAGACACATATTATTTTGTTTAGAACAAACCAAGACAACATTGATTATCCAGTTAGAGTGGACCTTCAAAATTCTTCTTTTGAACTGTCCCACAACACCAAATTTTTGGGAATCCACATTGTATGGAATTGAGTTACATCAAAATATTTTCACAACGAGGCTACAAAAAAATATACACGGCTAACTTCGAATCCGTTGCTCGATATGGAATTATTTTATGGGGTAGCAATAGAAATATCGAAAAGATCTTCATAGTTCAAAAAATAATAATAAGAGGAATCAACAACTTAAATTATAACCAAACTTGCAGAACAGTATTCAAGTCAACCAATATAATGACAATCTACGCAATTTAAATCTATGAATGCCTAATGTTCATTTATAAAAATTCACACCTCTTCACTGTAAATATACCTGCTCATAAGTATCCCACTAGAACAAATGAGTAAATGTATCCCCTTCATAGACTAATAGTAACTGAAAAAAACGCCCACTATATGTCAATCAAGCTTTTCAACCATCTTCCCAATAGAATAAAATGAACTAAGAAAATTGGAGTTTTCAAAAAGAGAACTAAAAAACTTCTCATAGACTTAGAGCCCTATGATCTGAATGCATATATCATTGGAACATTCATTTGAAAATATTTATAACAAAAAAATCTGAACCTCCTTGTTTAACGCCATTTCATTCTATGTCACCGACTTTTTATAATAAAAGTTTGTGATCTACTCTGAAATAAAGCTGTTTATTATTATTATTCTTTTCAAAAGTTCTAATCAATCAAAGTTTTTTTAACATGTTTTTTGAAAGTACTGGTGGAGCTCAAATAATATTTCAGAAATCAACAATTTCATTACCTTCTTTTTCTCCGATGGCAGCTTGTGTTTGCTTAACAATTGTCTCTGGCAAGGCCGATATTGTCGCTTTGAGTTTGTCACTAGTTGGAATAGTTTCTGGCAGCATAAGAGCCCTTGATAGAAGTAATAAAGAAGGAGGCACTTTTTCGTTCAAACTCAAATCTAGCCACTGACTCAATTGGTTTCTCAACCTTTCTTCACTGAGACCATAGGCTCTCATGCCTCTCGACCTGAAATGTGAAAAAAATCAACAAAAAATCTATTGGGTGTCGCTGGGTGTGTAACATTTTAGGAAGATTTTAATAATGATGCTGTTACATAAATAACAGATTATTTTTTGTTCTAACTATTACATAGTATGTACATGTCCAACATTTTAGGCCGATTTTAATAACGATGCTGTTGCATGAGTAGCAGATTATTTTAGGTTTTGACTATTACATATCATATTATATTATCTATGTAAATTGTATATTGTGCCTCTAAGTGCACGGAGTTTGTATTTTCAATGTTGTATTTGCACATGTTTTGACATACTCAATATCATCTATAGATGATCCAACTGAATATTATTATTAAGTTTCCTTACCTACAAGCTTGTTGCACCTCGGCGAGTGTTAAGCTGTCGACACCTTCCTTCTGAATCATTTTATCATCAGCGGCAAGAGATCGCAGTTTCATTCTCAGCTGAAAACGCAAGAAGTTATTTGTTCCCAATGTCTGCACTTCTAAAACTCGACAAAGAGCGATGAGTTGACTCCTGGAGAGCGAATCTAAGGTAATTTCATCTTGAAAGAGTTTAGAGAACTTCATTATCTCCTCATTGGAGACCTGTTCACCTGAAAGGAAGATGGTTTTAGTTTTATTGTTACCAGAAAATAAATATTTCGAAATCAAATTTGAACTATTCATCTCTCCCAACATACCTACACAGGATAAAAAATCCATCAATTGAATGTGAACATTCTTCCTACACACAATGATATATGTCATATACAGTAAAATTGTGCAATCCACAATTTTACTTGTGTAATACAAAATTCACTAATTTTTTACTCACCTGAAGTTCTAACCTTATTGAACCAGTCCAAAAACTCTTTAGCACTATCCGAATACCTATCCTTGTGCTGAACAGACATTTCGTCTAATGTTCCTTGCAAAAACTTGGCCATTTCCAACTTTACTTTCAGACCCTTCTTGATCTTATCCTCTTTGTCGGTGCTTGATTGGAATGTTGAAGGAAGCATTCCAGGGAAAAATTTTATGAAAACCGGTAAAAGAAGTTCCATGAAGGGTACAATAATGAACACAGAGAAAGGTACCAATCGAAATAAATCTCCCACAGTGCGTGTGAGGAGTCTGTATTCCCTTCTCGACAGTGTTTTTCCGTTGAGAATACGCCACACGAGTCCAGAAGATATTTTGACATCGATAAATAATAATCGGAAACCATGGTAGTAGTGTACAACTTCATCCCAAATTCTCTGGGTGATAGGTTTTTTCACGACAGCTTTAGCAACCTCTGTTGTCGTAGTGGTAGCAGCAGTTGCTTTGGTCTTCTGTTCTTCTTCCTGTTTCTTTTTGATTTCCTGTACTGTTACCTCCACCTTTGAGGATGGTTTGGAAGGATCCTTGTCAAATCTGATATTTGACAAATAAACTGTTCGCACCAAGTCATAATTATAACTAGGGCTGAGAACATTTAGTAATCTACTATCTCTTTTGAAGGATGAATAATTGGGGCTTATCGAGTAAAATCGCTTCGATTCGGCTATATTGGGATTCAAAACTTGAACATTTATATTACAGATGCATTGCTTTTGATGGTGAAAATGTCGATAAGCTGAAAAATGTAACAATCAATCACATTTATCTAAAATTATATAAGAGCTAGATGAACCAATGTTCTAACCTCAAAATCATAACAAACTCACTTTTTAATAATCTAGAACGATTGTATTTAATGTGAGAGGATCGTAGAACGACATACATTTTATTTAATTACTTCCTTGTTCAAATTTCGAATACTTGGTTATCTTGATGTAACTTCCAGAGTTATTTTTTAATTTAATTTTGTGGTCGTTTCAGCAATACATGGTACGTGTTTTTAATGACTTGAAAATTTTCCGATACATAAAGGAAAGCGAAAAGATGACATCATTCTGTGACGTTTGCATACCGTACCATGTTCAAAAAAACAATGTCACTAGTTTTTGAATAATCTGTAGGGATATTCGATATGAGCGACTTTTTAGCGAGCTGTACGCTAAAGGAAAACTTGTATAAATTGAAATTATTATATATAATAATTTCATGACGTATTATAATTCGTCATGGATTGAGCTGTTCATTATCGACAGTCAACTTCTTCGGCGAGTTAAGTATTTCATTTTTTCATAACTTTTTTTGATAAACTTCACGCGAATCCAATGAAAAAAAAATCCTATAAAGAGAAAATTGTAAGAAATAGCTCATACACTGTCGAACGGAAGTAAAATCATTGATACACATGTTTCACTTGACATTTTTTAATCAGATTGGACGATTATTTTGATTCAGTTTTGATAGCTTTGAGGTATCTTTTAACCAAATTAGCCTTAGGAATGGCAAAATGCCAAAATGTTGTTTTACATCAAATAACTTAGGCAATTTCCACTTCTGTGCTTTGGAAAGCTAATTTCAGCAAATCATAGCCTATTAGATATCATTCTTTTGTGTTATTACGAAAGTTTAGGGTTATGCAAAGTTTCAAAAACTATAGAGAAACTATATAGGTACTTTTGATTCAGATTTTTTATTTAAAATTGAATGTTCAACTCTTGCCCGAACGTATGTTTTTCACTTCTGAACAGAATTTAAGTTACATTGCTGTTTAGAAGCTATAATTATTGTTTTAAGTAGAAATGTAATTTGTAAGGATTATGTTTCAAAAAACAAATCCTGAAAACCTACCGAAACAATTGAAAACAAACTAAATATCATTCGACTGATTCGAGCAAAAATGTTCCACGGGTAACATTCGTGGAGTTTATTTGGACACCTACTAATGTAAGAAATTCAATTTTTATTTTGTGACGTCATGGTTTGGACCACCCTGTATATAGACGCATCTACTTTTCTACTTTCATGTATGTATTATTTTCCTGAAAATAACCCGCCCTCGCAATTTTCATCTAAATCTGCCCTTGCAACAGCCTAATGACTGTTTGATTTAAGATTTTGTGCTATGTGTACCTACTTATATAAAAAAAACGAGTCACTTGAAAAATTTGCATTTGAGAAACTATTTTTCACTATTTAGAATCATNACGGATTTGCATCGTCGAATTGAGTTTTGTGATTGAGTGCTGATAAAAAGTCAGGAAGAACCATATTTTCCTTAAAAAAAATATATGGAGTAATGGAGCTGAGTTTACCAAAAATGGATTATTTAATCGTCATAATACTTATTTTTGGGCTGTGAAAATCCACACCTTATCCGTGTCCGATATTTTTAAGAAAGATGAAATTTTATCGTTTAAAATGCTATAAAGCACAATATGATTCTGTGTTTCTAATCTATGATGTAAATTTGAATGGCGAAGTATACTGTAACATACCATAGTACAATTTCATAATAGTAAGCACCAAATTCTCAGGAACATTATTGCATTAAAACGAAAACGTTGTTGTCAAAGATGTCATTCCCTAATTTATTTTAACATCATTTTTCCTCATATGTTTGGTATAATTTCCGTAAGCCACTGCAAGAGACAGATTTAGGCAAAAAGTCAGTCATTTCTGAAAATTTAGTGCCTACCGTTTTGGAATTATAGTATACAAAATGTTGTGAGAGTGGCAGTTATTATATGACAGGCAATGGCGGATTAAGCATTTTGCCGCCCTAGGCTCCGTCTAATACGCCGCCCTTTTTCAACAACAAAATTACCTAAATATATTTTGATTCACAATTGTTATTGAATAAATGTTTTATTCAATTCAAAAATAATTAATAAATAATACAAAATAAATTTTATTAAACTCTAACATAATAAATAATAATAATAAAC